CGCCACCGCATCCCCATCAAGCCAATTGGCAGGGCGCTAAGTGCCAAACTCATCCTCCAAATGAGCGCCGCTCACTGGGGACCCAGAGCCAAGCCACCCCCTCTATTAATTCCGGGCTCCATAGGACACAGCAGCATGGCATTACATCATTGTTAGGCAGGTTCTCCGGCAGTGTTAGCTTGAGGTGAAGGTAGAATCAAAGAAGGAAAGATAGGAATATATTCCGTGTCCTCTGTCCTCTCCTCGTGACCAGAGCATAAAATGACCTTATAAAACAGGAGCTCGGGAGCAGGAAAGTGTGAGTAAGTCGGGAATCAATTTTTATTAATAATACAGAACCTCCCTAGATTCTGCCAAAGACCTTTGGGACCCCGACGAGCCAAGGAGAGCTTGGCACATGAATACACATCACTTTCCTGCTGATTGAGCCATCTCTCCACCCCTCTGGAGAGGCTGCAACACACAGGTCTGCAAATGACACTGTATCATGGCAAAATAACCCCATGCGCAATAATCAAGCTTAAATCCATGTTCTCCAGTAGCAGATTCAACAAACTGAACGTTAAGGCTGTGCTACAGAGCCAGCTTGTAAGAATATGACACCTCTAGGTAACTGATGGCGAAATTAAGGTTTAGGTATAGCAATTTCGCCGCAGGTGTTAATGCTGTGAGTCTCAGTGTGAGGACACTGAACGATTTTTCCAACATGAGTTATATTATAGTCCGGACTAACTTTTGTCTTAAGACTGATCTTTCTGAATGGCAGCACAGCAGATGGAGATCCATCTCTTGTATCGCCAAAGAGTATTATGACTTAGTGTGATGTCATAATGGTGTAAAAAGCAGGAGTAGTGGAGTTTTAAGGGTTCATTTATGCTTTTAGAAATGTCCAGGGATTGTTGATTGTAGACATCATTAACACATTCAACCACATTAGTTCTTTTGTTTAAAACAGTGCTGGATTATGTGAATTCAGGGCAAGCGTGTGTGTGTTTTTTTTTTTTTCAAAGTAGATCAGTATAATTTGACATCTGGAGTTATAAATAAAAGAACGAATGATAAACATTCTAAAAATGTGATGTTAATGTGTGTTTTTGCAATTCAGAGCGCACTTGGTGTAATTTAAGGGTCGTATTAAATGCATTGTTTGAGCGCGGTGTGTTAAGCATAACTCCAGAGGCCAACTGAATCTTTTAATTTCAATGATCATTAAAGGCCTATTAAAATAGATGGTGCACTGCGACATAATTGAGAGATTTGAGCATCCTTTCCCATCATGCACTGTTGGGTTTTCGTGATCACTGTAAAATTTTGGTGATCACCATAAAGAGCGACTAACAAAATTCCAAAGTGGGGAGCTATTAAACACTTCCATCGGGTTTAGAGATGGTGATCAGAGTGGAGATTAGACAGAGCGGTGTCACCCCGTCTGGTCCGACACAGTGGCGCTTAGCATGCGATCGTCCGTGCAACAGCTAAAGTTGCTCGTTTGTCATCCTGTGCTGCATTGTTGCCGCTTGAAAAAGTGTCCTGACTTTGCCGGGTGCACCTTAGCGTTAAAAGCACAGCGTTTTCTGATTAGAACGTCTGCAGATTTTCACTTCCTACTTTAAAGCAGGTGTTAGACTCAGTTAGATGCTCAGATCTCTGTTCTCCTGCCTGCTGGGAAGACCTTGGTTTAGTCAGAGTTCATAGTAAACGCTTTGATAGCAGAGAAGAGATTTGATGTGTTCGTGAGTGAGTTCATTTTTTTCCTTGGGTGTCCCCTGGATTGTCCCGGAGAGGATGAGAGGCTGGACGTGGCTAACCCTCCTCCACAACTAAATGACTGCTAGTGATTTAACGCCTGCCAAACTACACAGAATTAATGATCGGCCCTTTCTGCTGATGAATTGTAATTTATATTTAACATAACTGCGCTAATGACTGAACTAATGACTTCAAAGCTATCTCGGACATTTTCTCACACAGGACGTGACTTGCATCCCAATGAGCTGAAGGAAGTGTGGTAGGCAGCACATTGATGTGTTCTCCATCTGCAGAGCAGCTAAACCTGCCTAACAAGGAGCACCCCTTGATTATTTTTCATTTAATACTTAGGTACTGCGTGTGCTTCCTCTCATTTTTCATTCTGATCGTTTTTTTTTAAATATACACCAAATCAGGCCCTTTTATCTTTCCATTCTTGCTTTAAATATAGATGGACTGTGTGGAACTGTGCATTATAAGGTGTCCACCTTATCTTTATTATATTCATGAAATTCAAGTTGGTGCTTTTAATAACCGTGAATGTTGGTAGCGCTTCTCATTTCTAATTTTACAAAGACAAATCAAATCAAATTTCATATATAATATAAATGAGATTCCATGTGGTGTAAGAATAACTGAATATTTTTCATGGGTATGTGCCTGAAACTCAATTTTCATACATACACCATTGTCAATATACAGAATTTTTTTTTTTTATTTGGTTAAGCGGGTTAAAAAAAATGTAGTTAATATGATTCCTTAGCCAAGTAATTAAGGTGAAATTAAAAATCGCTGTTTAAAAATAACAAATAAAGTTGATGTTTGGAAGGCATGGTCTAAGCGTAAAAAAAAACTGTAACTTTTTAACCTTTCTTATAGTAAGGAGAACAAAAAAATGTTAACTACTTCAAAATATGTATATTCAGCATGAGTTTGGCCAGTTATTCATTAAAAAATTCAAAAAAAAAATTAAAGCCAAAGAAAGCATGAAGAATGTCCACCTGGTCAAGTATTCAAGCGGATTTATTTTTCAGCAGGGTTATGGTAAGCACATTTTGTTCTGATGTATGTTCTTATCGTGCTAAGCACACAATGAAGAGACAATGAGAAAGTCTCACACAATCTGTTTCAAATTATGCTAAGCGAAATATATGTTCACTTGCTGTTTAAACACTTGGATCTTTTGTGGAATTGCTCACAAGTTTTATAATCGTCCTTCAGGGCTATTTTATAAAATGTGGTTTAAATGTGAGAAGGGAATTTATAGTATTGTGAGAAAGAGCATTTTGGAAATACCCCATATACCCCACTCAGCTTTGTCTATACACAGCACTCTCGCAAGCGCTGGAGCCTCTGCATATTTTATAACCACTTTTGTACAGAAAATTCTGGCTCTGAATCAAATGTCAAATCATGTGAAATTTTTTGCCCTGCTGTGTCATTTTTTTATGAGCAGGAGAGTGCCGAGACATTTCCGTGCCATCTCCTGAAGGTGACTTTCCCTCCCACCATGCATTGATAAGAAGGCCCAAATTTTCACATTACCACCGTCCTCTCCTCCTGCCAAATGCTGTCATTTTTCAATGTGTGCACGGCACATTTTTCTCGACAGCTTGGCACAGACCTCGCTGGTCGAACTAAAGTGAGTTTAAAGAGACTCACTTGTAGTGCAATAGCATGCCACGAAATTCCAACCAGGGTAAATCTGAGTATTTGCAGTGTGTTGTCAGATTAGACGCTGATTGTGTAAGGGAGCGTGAGGAGGTGGATTATTAATTAATCCTGGTTATGAAATGTCACGCTGTCAGACTCAAGAACTTGGAAAAATCCTGAATGGAAGAAGCTATCACATTTCTGTGGTTACGTAGACGTCCTGGGATTGTATTGGGGGGCATTTGATCGAAACCTAAATGCATTACGAACGAAATACTGTGTATTTCATATGTAAGGTTTGAGAACTATAATTTTCTTCTTCTCGGGGCTTATGGTTTGGCAGTTTTCTACCTTCATAATGTAATTTTCTCAATGCAAGACCTTTTGAATGTTCCTCTTGGCAACGATAACCCTGAGCTTTGCTCCTTTTCGGCCCCTGCCGCCCCTTATCCTAATCATTTCTAACCCCTGTGCTCAAAACATTAGCTCTTTTCAGATTTAACAATTCCCTCTTTGGGAACTGGAGAGCACGGATTCCCTTGAATCAGATATCCAATGCATCTTTAATTTCTAACACGGGTTGGCCTCCCTCTGGACAAATCAGCCTTACTTCTGCAAGGCCTGATTGAAAGGTTGTCTTTAGTCAATAGATGAGTCTTTATGTGACAGACAACAGGCAGGCGGCGGGAGAAAGGGCAAGCTGATGGCTAAATGAGAGGATGGATTAGGGGAGTGGAGGGGGAGAGAACTGTCATTAGCTCACAAACAGCACTTTCAAGCACAGGAAATTGCCTTGCCACCAGACATGGCCCCATTGCGTTATCTTCGTGTGGTCTATGCCAAAGCTCGGGGAGATGGGGAGGGGGCAGGCTGGAAATCGTGCGTTTCAGCAGTCAGACCCGTGTGCACAATTAATCATTCGCTCCTGGATGGCCAAAGAGAGGAGGGAGGCCGACGGAACAGCTTAGATTCAATCTATCCTCATTTACGCTATAATGGCCTCATCAATGGCGGTGGAAGCATGTCTGTTTTCGCTGTAGTGCCTGTTCTTTTCACTTCTCCTCCCGTCCTCTGCACCATGGAGGGATGGAGAGCTCTTTCTCTTTTTTCAGAGGAGGCAACGGGTAGGTTTATGCAGCCATAAAGCTTCCCATTTTTTTGTTACAAATACTAAGCACTAGTGTTTCTTTTTTTTAATAAGCCCACACTTGAACACAAACCACATGGATGGGATTATGCGTGGCAGATCACGTTATTTCTGTGTTTATCCTCAGTGGGTTTATTTGAATTAGCAGAATAACATCTGATTGCGGCTGAACTTGCGATGCTAAGCAAAACAATGGCAAAGATTTCCATCCTGCTCACATGAATTCCATCACACTGCAACAAGTGGAGTCTCATAATGAAATTGCTCTCCATCTGGAGGCACTTTACTCATTTGTTTTGACTCGAGGGCCTGACACAGGGATGCCCTGTAAACGGTTGCTCGGATGGATGCTTGCATTGCAAACTCACCATTATGCTGTAGTAGCGATAATAGTTTCCCATGGAAACATCACAGACATGTTGGCTCACTCGAGTTTGCAAGATAGTAAGTGAATGGTCATATGTAGACAAGGTTGTGTATATTCCCTACTTTCTAAAGGTAGGCCCTCTGCAAACGCACTTGATTTTACACCACAAAAGACAAAGGATTGAGAAGACAAAAAGTTGAGCAGAAAACCCTCAACCTTTACGTTTATATAAATGAACGCAAGTCTTCTTACCAAAGCGATTTAGAATAAGGGTCAGTTACCAGGACAGTTATACACTCAAAGGAAGAGTATTGACTTTCCTCAAGCCTGTCATGTCAAATAACATGTCTTTGCCTCATGATTTCTCACTTGTGCAAGTGAATGGCCCTAAGTCAGGCGAGGGAGCACTTCAGTTATTTCCCTTCAGGCCCCTGCATCCACCAAAACAACCTCACTTTTATTTCGAAATGTCCTGGCTCTGAAAACCCAGCCATCTTTTAGGAGTGCAGTATCCAGAGACCCTCTCCAAGTCCCTCTAATGAGGGCCTGAAGAAAGTCTAGAGCACTCAAGACCCCACTGTCAAGCTTTTTGCGACTGTGGGAAAGCTTTCTTGACATAGCCGAGAAAAGAAAAGGGAAGTAAAAAGAAAACGTGCCCCACTGAGACGGTCTGAAGACTAAGTGTTGTGAGCAATTAACAGCTGCCCGCTTTTATTGACGCCTGCATCAATAGAGCTTTAAATAAAATCATAAAGTTACACAGTCAAGCCGTACAGCGCGGTATTTGTCAGGATCCGGCATTGATTTCATTTCGTTTCGGCTTGGATGCACTTTCTCAGGAGACACTGTGGATGCGGTCCTTCCCTGCAGCAGTTGATTTTGCTTAACACATTTTTGATTTATGGTCAACTACAAGGCGACAGAGGCGGAATGACTTAATATTGCCGGCGATGAAGACAAAGAAATTTTAAAGACTCAAGGTGATCTTCAATTATCACAAGTGGCTTTAACAAGAGCCGCTCATGCTGTGCTGTTATTTGCTGAGATCCCACGCTGCAGCAGTGGACAGCCCTCTGCAGTGCGGAGGGCTGGATAAAGGGAAGACTGACAGTCTTGCGTAAGACAGAGTCTCTCCAGTGGGCTCTTTAAGACCCTTGGTCCACTGCTCAATGTTTCTTGTGGCAAAGCTTAACTCATACCAGAGAAGTCCATATTAACAGGTGCAGTCTGACACCAAAGGTCATGGCTCTCGGCATGAACATGTCAGGTTTAAGCCGACTTAAAGTAACTGTGATGCCCTGTCTGGCTCCAGCTTTTTCAAATTATGACTGCATGAATGAAATCTATATGAGATTTAGTTTTACTCAGAGCTTCTAAACCTGGAAACCGGATGGCTGAAATATGAATGAGCGAGAGAGCACTACCACAGCAAGCACCAGCTGTTTGCCGCTCTCTGTGGATCCTGTTCTCTCTTTAGCAGTCCTTCTTCAGTTCTCAGTCCTGTATTCATTTCTGTTCTGTTCTTTTCTTCTCTTACATCACCTAACTTTGGAGGATGCTCCCAAGGTTTCTTAGATGGGAGATAGTCCTTCCTGAGCAAATTGCATTTTCCCTTGGTGATGGTTTGGTATTACAGGCTTTTACCAGGGCGTTCCTCCCTCCGGCTTGCCCAGAGCTTCTTCTATTTACATCTCTATAGAGCGGCAGAGAACAGCAATGAAACCTCTGAGCCACAGCGGCCTTGACAAGAGGATCGCTTTCTGGTGCGGATTTGGTCAACTCCTCGCGAGGGTGATTCCTTCACCCTGTGTGTGATTTGTGTGGAATTTTCTGTCTATGTGTAGAATAGCAATAATTTTCCATTCCATTTAGTAAGTTTTCTTCTTTCCCTCACTCATAATAAAGTGTTCCACCACAGATCCGAGCCAAAATCAATATTCAGAAATAATTTAAAGTCCCGCAAGAATGTTATATTTTAGAGGGATTAGTTTTCCTCTGATTTGTGCAATTTTATAGTACCAAGAATTGGACTCGGGCTGGGAAATTTCCATTGGTCAGAATTGTAAATTTGATCACTCCAATAGTGTAAATAGCTTGTTTGTGTTGAGACTAAATTTACTGGCCTTGAATAAAAAGCAAGACCAGCAGCTGGTCTGATCAGTCAGTGGGCTCTGGGATTAATACCAAAATCTATGGGACTGTTTGTCTTCCTGTAACTTAAAGGGTTAGTTCACCCAAAAATGAAAATTCTGTCATTAATTACTTACCCTCATGTCGTTTCAAACCCGTAAGACCTTCGTTCATCTTCGGAACACAAATTAAGATATTTTTGATGGCACTTTTTTTTTTTTGCGCACAAAAAGTATTCTCGTATCTTTGTATAATTGCGGTTGAACCACTGATGTCACATGGATTATTTGACCGATCTCCTTGCTACGTTTCTGGACTTAGGAACATTTCAGTTACGTTGCCTGTCTATGCAGGGTCAGACAGCTCTCAGATTCCATCAAAAATATCTTAATTTGTGTTCCGAAGATGAACGAAGGTCTTACGGGTTTGAAACGACATGAGGGTGAGTAATTAATGACAGAATTTTACTATCACTTTAAAGAGTAGAGCATGACACAAGGTCATGGGTTCAGTTCCCAAAAAAAGTTTATTTTTACCTAATTCATTATCTTCCAAATCCATAAATGTAAATCATGGATGCACTGTACTCAAGAAGTACCGTTGCAGGATTCATTAGAAGGAATACTCAGACCCCAAACCCAAGCTGTAAACTAAATTGGCGAAGTCAGAGAGATCAGCAGTTTTCCCTCACCAAGCAGGAACTATTAAAATCCTAAACTGAGAAATTCCAGACCCTTTTCCAAGAGGTGGAGGTACAGGAGGCTGTGTGTTCTGCATGTGTGCGATAGGTTAGGGGGTTATGGGGTGGGATGGACTGATTGCAAGATTAGGTCAACTAAGTAGCACTAATCAGAACTGTGGCTGGTATGACAGGAAGCAGAGAGCACCACCATCCATAATTATAAGTGTGCACATCATCGATGATATCATTCAGACATTATACGCTTATGTGAACACACTACTCCCAGTGACTTTTTCTTATTTAAAAAGTTATCTAACAATTACTTTTTTATATTTTACTCTAAGAAAACAGGCTTGCATACATGGTTCAGTGAATTCAGCAAAACGCTGTTGTGCATGGTCTGGTCTTCATTCCCAAATGTTATCTGGAGTCACTCGCTGTCTGTTTACTAAGTAAATGCCTTTTTCTAATATTTGTTCTCTCTTCTTTTCCTTCTAGCACTCTCAACAACAACAACATCACCCTCATCCCACTGTCAAGCTTCAACCACATGCCCAAACTGCGGACACTGTAAGTACTGAAGAGCTTCTTCATGGTAATGCTATACAATCAGATATTCATTTATCTACATTTAGTGACGTTCATTCTAAATCTTGACTCTTTTTGAAAGGATTTGCTGCCTGACTAGAGGCTCTGTGGTGACGCCGTGCCAGTTTTCAGAGCTGTGGTCTGTTTGCAAGCAGACGTTGTCTTAGCTGAAGATATTGAGATGGTTTTCTTAACACAGATGCCTGTGTCGCTCCTCTGCGTTTGCACTGTCAGACCCAAACCACAATTGATATAAATAATTACACAGTCCCCAAACCTCGTTCCAATCTGTGTCTGACCTGCGATATTAACAAGACTCAGAGATGCTTTTGTTATTATTCGAGTGTGGTCGTTCTTCTCAGAGCTTTGGCTCTAATAGAGGGATAAATAAAGAAATATGTCAGGAGTAAATGCTAGTTTGATTTCGGGGCTTCTGGGAGTTTGAATCTCCATCTGAAACACAAGGCTTTAGGGTTATCGTCATTTCTTTTTCCATCTATCTCTCCTCTTTCCGTCATGGCGTTCTCCCTGGAGCCTGCGCTCAGAGTCATCCATAGCTCGAGCTCCACAGCCGAGCAGTCTGGCCTCCCTCCCATCGGTCAGCCCATCAGACAGGCCAGACCCCTCATGCGGGATTGAATTTGCTGATGCTCGGATGGCCGGGCGCGTTGCTCCCTGGGCAGTATTGAATTATCAACAGCGAGGCTTTGGTTGCTACCCAGTTCCTTTGGATTGAATTTTCTGTCTCTAATATCCCTGATATATCTGTATTGAATTTGTTGCTCGTAAAAACAACTTATTAAATCAAATTTTTAGAGATGCTGGTAATCCATTTAGTAGGATGGTGGTTTGGCTCCAGGTTTCTGATGAAATAGTCCAGTTTGCCTCACCTTTCCCCGACCTTCTACAGACATACTATCTTTGTGCATTCAATTAGATCAAATGATATCACCCCATGATGCTTGCCATTCAATAACTCAGACAAATGAAAAGCACTCCTACCGCTAGTCATTTTCCGTGCATGACGGTCGATAGGGTGTGCTTGCACGTGGAGCTTCCCCATCGTGCCTGTCCTCGGCTCATCCTATGCACCTGAGGCAGCCGAGGCTTCTTCTCCTCATGCCATCCATCTCTGTAATCCCACTCATCTGTAATTAATCCGCAAAGACGGGGCCAGATACTGGATTTGTAATGGGAAAAGCTCTATTAAAACCATTGCCCCCTGCTGAAATCGTCAATGGCGGGTTTTTGTCCTCCTAACTGGATTCTGTCTATTTCATTTACAGACAGTGTTGACCGGTATAGCTGCGCCTTTTGATTCGCTGACACCACTTTTTCTTTGAACTGTGTCTCTCGTACCCTTCGTGTAATGGCCCTTGAGAGATTTATATTAAGGTGTTATTGGGAAATGTGCCATTTGTTGAAGACCTTGTTGAAATGAGGGTGCATGCTCTGGGGATTTGGGAGCGGTTTACTGTGGTCTCCTCGGAGATGTTACTATCATCCGTATAATAGAATGACCCAGTCACACTCGTGTTGTCACTAATTCAGATATGTTATTCCGAGTCTGCATTACCGAAGCTGTATAGAGATTCTCCCTATTAATATTTACTTGTTCTCGGCGCCGATTTCCTTCCTCCTTTGCATTTAAATGCCATATGACAGATGGAATATGACATTGAGTGTGTGGTAAACATTGCTCTTCTGGCACAGTGTTCACTTTCTCTGTCAGAATGTCCTTCTCCTGTCAACTAAAAAAAGAAGAAAATTAAGCTTGCTTTTAGTACCTTGTTTATTTGTTTGTTTGTTTATGCATTTATTTAGTTATGCATTTGACATTATTTACACTGATGTTAATAACTAAACAGACATGTATTTATTTATTTATACGATTACGATTTATTATTTAATATTTATGTATTTACTTATTTATATCTTTATTCATTAAATTATTTTTTTCTTTCGTTCATTCATTCACTCACTCACTCACTCCAACAAATTCCAGCATGACACATACTCTTCTGACATTCTTCTTTTTCTTCCACATTATGGCATTGAAAATGATAGGAGGAGTGTTTAAATACATTTGTCATGAGAATAATTTCACAATGGAAAAATCTTAAAGGTCTGTACATAGGGTAATTTTCTTTATTTAAAAAAATGACATATTTCCTTCTTTCTTTCTTTCTTTCCTTGTCCTACCAGTCTTTTTCTCAAACTTGTAATTAATTAATTAGCAAATGTTGGCTATTACAAGTAAACACTTGGTTGCCGTGATTTTGCAAAGTAAGACATGTTCCTGGATCAACATCTTTTGTTGATCCTGGATCAACATTACTGTCCAAAAATACAGACTTAACCCAATCCCTACCCCTAAACCTAACCTTACCATAATTTATTCCTAAAATCAGATTGAAATGATAGCTGATTAACAAGAGTGTAGAAGCACCTAATCCTGATTGTAAGCCTAAAACTGACATTTCCTGAAAAGTTATCTCTTAATTCTGATTGGTTGATTGGAATGATATTCCAGGATCAACAAGGATGTTGATCCAGGAACATGTTGTACTTGGTGAAATCACGCTCAACATAAACACTTAGGGCCTTTTCATTGTGTTGTTTTTTAAAGCCACTCCTTACATTCTATTTCTTAATGGACCTTCGGGTTTCATTGGTGAAAAAGTTCACGTTCAGCTCTTGTTAATTAAGCCCCCTTTTCCTCCCCCTCTGATTAATCAACTGAGGAATATACTCCAACACAAACACAAAACACACTGCAAGAAAAAAGCGTTTCTTAATTAAGCTGCAAAGCAAGACAATAAAACAACAGGGAGTCTGTTCTTGCTGATTATGTACTGTATTAAAAGCTATTTTCACCTGTCTTCATTTGTTCTGTTATTGGGACTAATATTAATTTTCACACTTCTGTACAGAAGCGACATGACAGTTATAACTACTATTAGAAGGAATGCTGTTCTATTCATATTTGACTCAAAATGCTGTTAATGTTCCGTGTTCTCCATTTGCTTTCTTGTGTCATTAAACCATGTTGTCTTTAGTCAGTTTTCCTCCTGATCTGTTATTTTTCCATCTTTTCCTCCTCCCCAGGTCCTGCTCAGACGGAGCCAAGGTCATGCGCTCCCCAGGCGTCCATCTGCCCTGCTGCCTGCACCTGCAACAACAACATTGTAGACTGCCGTAAAAAAGGCCTGACGGAGATTCCTGCCAACCTGCCTGAGGGAATTGTAGAAATGTATGGATTCCACTCCTCAAAATCATTCGCCTTCTCTATTTGTGTAAAATCTGCCTGTGTGATAAGTACTTACCGCTGATATCGCCTGTGCGGTGATCTGGCTTCTTCTGCCTGTCATGTAACAAAGGCCATTAGCGGTGCGGTGTAGCAGCCTTATTAGCGAGTGCGTTAACGTCGTGCCGCAGTTGCAGATAGATCTTGCTCAGTGCTGCTGGAGGTCCACCATCCCGTCTGCACGGTTTAGGTAATTAGACAACCAGTCAAGGATCAAAATGAGGTGGGTTATACTGAGCCCAATCTAATGTCCAGGAACCCTGAGTGATTTATCAGCAGATTCAAGGCTGCTGAAGTTATCTGAGATATGATGTGAAAAGATAGACCTTTTAATTATTAAGTATATAGTTCATATAAGTACTAATTTTGGTATAAGTAGATTACCAAATACCAAAATTTTAGTAATTGATACCGATGTCTGTGACATTTCATCATAGCATACAACAGCTGTTCCAATACCATTCAAGTAAATGGTCAGAAACAAAATAAAGAGCAAAGAAATACAGTAAATGAATGTGTTAATTGTGCAATTCTTTTTTTTTTTCTTTCAGTTTAATGCGTTAAAAAGTCTTTGACACAATTAACAGAGCACCTGTTTTTTCCCTGGCATCCTTTGGCTAGCTTTACAGTAGACTATATTAACACGCTACCAAGCACGATAAAACGCAAAAGAGATGTTATTAATTTGGTACCGGCACACTGTCTGTGTCAGACATCAGACACGTGAAAGCGCACAGAAAGCGGCTTCAGACAGCGTGCCAGTAGCGCATTGAGTTCTTTTTCGCTTTTAAAGTGAAACCTGCTGCAGTCCGTCACTGATGTAAATCAAAGAACAGAAGAAAAAGAGAAACCACTCACTGCTCTTCGCTGATTAACATTTGTAGCCTGATTAATCTATATTCAGTTTATAGTTTATGCATATACAATTTAGTTACTTTTCAAAGCCTATTAAATGTTAAAAATAATGTCTTTCAATTATACTGTAATGTTAAATGGCTATAATTAATGGCTAAAACTGAGGGGAAAATGCATTTACAGGTACAGGTATATACAGGTATCAGTTGCAGTATTGGTATCAATGATACTGGCCATCATTAATAATAGAATAATATGCCATTAAACTATTTATTTATTTATACATTAATAACTGCAATTAATTAGTTAATTTTTTAATCGATTGACAACACTAGCTAATAGTTATGTTAAGAAAACGTCACTTTTTTTGAATGTCCATTTCAAACTCATTTAAGAGGATGTTCTCTAAAACCCTAGTTCTGTCATGACAACTCTCGGAGGGATTGGCATGGTAATGTACATGGCAATGTTAATGTATTTGGTCTTGGCGGAATAGATCTGCTACGCTGTACGGCAGCGCAAGTACCGAGACTTGCTACTGCCAATACATCCACAACATGCTGCTGTGAGCATGTAGGAAATATTGCTGCTGCACATATAACATGCATGAAATAACCCCCATATAGCATACATGAATCACCTCGTAGCAGATCTATACAGATGGAGCTGGGGAAGGTGGAGGGTTTCTGAAGCAAGCTGCAACTGCTACGGCAAGCACTAGTCATATATTTGAATGCAAGCGAGCTCATACCGATACAGGAGAGAACCAATCAGCTGTGCCATGTGATAATGATGTCATTAGGTCAGATTGAGTTAGACCTATCGGACTGTGCCATCTAGAGTTTCATGCCAGAACTCTGTATTTGTCTTTGGATGTCTTTAATGACTGTGGCTTTTTTGTGCAATTCGGTTATATTTTTATGAGAAAGCCACAGTTTTTAAAGCAACCTTTAGATTAATGCTGTTGTCTATTTTTCTGCCTATTAACTTTTTTATATGACCTTTGCTTCATTGTGCCGGGCATGTTAGCTTGCGTAATGCTAATGTTAGCATATTAACTTTAGTATTCTTATTAAAAAGCAATCAAATGAATGTAATTCATACAGTGCAAACATCTGACCTTGTTGTTGTTCCAGCCACTTCTGTATTCGGTGTCCTTCAAATGCAAGAGAACGTCCAAAAGGGGTTTTGCGGTATCTTCCAATAAACAAGGACATTTTGGTTGCGCATGGGAAATTTGCAAGGCCAACATTTCCACTGTGCGCATAGGCTGGGACGTCGTGTTTAATGATCACATAGCAGCGCAGTGGTGTGCTCACACACATGCATACTGTTACAAAGAAAACACTCGAGTTTTTTGATGGGTTTTGGCTGTCTTGCCTCAAGCTGATTGAATGTTCTCGTGCTTTGGAGAACGTCCATATCGTCTTGGTCAGAGTATTTGGTATCCATATTGATTCAGAGATCCTTTTTATTTGCACTAAAGGACAGGTAGGTAATTGCCCTGATATGTGCTGTTCCTCACAGTTGTTGTTATGTCAATAGTGTATGACCTTTGCATAATAAATGGATATGCAGGCTAGGACACATTAGCCCATCCTAGCTCATGGCCAAAAACAAATTGGGCTAATGAAATGATGTATAACCTGGAGCATGCAGAGAGCTGTGCTTATTTCTCAGGGACTTGTTTTCTGTGCCCTCTTATCCCAGTGAGCCAAAACACAAATTGAACGCCCAATGTACAGGCTGCCGTAAAGCATTAGATGGCTTTCTCTGTAGACCTCCAGAAGGAGCATTAAGTACCAGCCAGACTCTCAAAAACAAAAGGTTCTTCAGCGAAAGACTCTTTTGAGCACTTTAGGTTCGACAGAGCACCCTCGTTTCATAAAGAACATTTAATTCACTCTTGCTCTATTGTTCTATTTGCAATAAGTAAAAAATTGTAAATAAATGAAGTCTTTCTAAATAAAAATTGTAAAAAGGGATTAGGTTATTCAGATCAGCATAATGTTTTATAGATGGTTACATAAAGAACTAAAGAACAAAGTTATTTGTGGAACTTAAAATCAGGCCTCTCGGTTTTAAATTAAATATTTATTTTTTAAGCGTGGGCCTGTAAAACACGCCTCCAAATACTTTCAAACTCTGAGGAATGAAATCACCAGCAGATCTGTGTTGTGAGTGGAATAAATGTGATATGGTGCATGTACATTTGCGAAACACCTACAGGAATATTACATCGTTTTCTTTTCTCTGCCATGCCATATTTGTTTCATAATTTTATTATATGCAATTACTAGCGTAATGGAAAAGTCAGTGTTGTGTAACAAAACATATCCATCTGTTCCCATATAGTCGTCTGGAGCAGAACATGATCAAGAGCATCCCAGCAGGAGCGTTTTCCACGTACAAGAAACTGAAGAGAATGTAAGAACTTCCACACACAGCAACACAAACTGATGGTCTTACCATTTACATTATACCAATCAAAAGGTTGGGGTCAGACTTTTTTCTTTTCATCAAAAAATCCTGGAAAAAAGGCTGCACAACTGTTTTCAACATTAGTAATATGAAATGTTTCTTAAGCAGCAAACCAGCATATTAGAATGATTTCTAAAGGATCATGTGACACTGCAGACTGGAGTAATGATGCTGAAAATTCAGCTTTGCATCACAGAAATAAATTACATTTTAAATATATTAAAATAGATAACAGGTATTTTAAATTGTAATAATATTTAACCATTTTACTGTTATTATGCAGCCTTGGTGAGCATAAGAGATTTCTTTTAAAAATCGTACTGACCTCAAACTTTTGAATGATAGTTTACGTATATCCAAAAAGCACTTTAAAATCAGCTAAACATTCCTCTATTTTGACACATCTAGAAATATACACACTTTCTTTTTAGACTTTTTCAGCCTATGCATGAACTCTATACCTGCTGCAAGTGATCTCCTGTCAACCACTTTGAAAAAAATAGTAGAAGGGTTCATAACACGCACCGCAGTTTCTAGAGGCATGTCACCCTGCACAAGAAAATCTATATTTTAGACACAAATTCAGATATTTAATAAGATCTTCTCACCTCTGCTTTGGCAGTGATGCCTTGATGTGAAGAGCTCAGTATTTTGAAGGATATACTCAAACAAATCTGGGCTTCCTGAGAGAAACACACCTGAGGGGGAAAAATGAATTTGTGTACGGTTTTTCACAACCACTTCTCACCGAATCATTGTAGAGTTTATTTCCACCCCAACAACCCAAAATTGAGAAAATCTAGCTTACATGACAGAAGATTTTAAAGAATCAAGTCATTATTTATTCACCCTCATGACATTGCAAGGTTTACGCCAGTTCAAGTCATGTGATAGCTTATTGTGAGAAGAAGTAAATGGTTTAATGATGATCACCAGGCAGTTTCTTATGTTCTTTTCTCCTCAGTATCGAGTTCGTTGGGTATTTATGGAGTATCGACGTCCTGTCAGACAAATGTGCAAACCATCCTTTTGTTGGTCTAACAGTTGGCCGTATTATCTCTATTTATGTCATTACAGAGACCTGAGCAAGAATCAGATATCTGAGATTGCAGAAGATGCGTTTAGTGGCCTGCGCTCGCTCACTTCACTGTAAGTGTTTTTCACGCACACATGCAAGCATTCATACACCTGAGCTGCGTAGTAATGCATTTACAAAGATAATAGGCGTGCGTAAATGTAAACAGTCAGGTGAAAGGACAGGTGTCGAATAAATCAGCTGACAGAATGGAGACGAGACAGCCTACTGTCTGCCTGAGTGTGTGTCTTTCGCTGTGCGTGTGTGAGTGTGTGTGTTTGCTGACATCTGCAGCAGCGTGAACACAAGGGAGGACTTTCATTTAAATCACCTCAACAAGTCAGAGAGAGACAGAAGCCTCAGCGTGTGCATATTAATTTGGTCAGATCTATCTCCCTGCGTCCGGCCCACACAGCTGTAAACGAGACAGAGCTCATTTACACATGCCGCGTGATTAAAGAGGCGCTGAGGGGTGGAAGATGGGCTGCGGTCTCTCAGGGAATAGGAATAAAGCAAAGAGGACGCGCGAGATGACATAAACACACAACTCGGAAGTTAGAGTGTGTTGAAGGAATGGTTCAGCCGAAAGTGAACGGCGCTCAGAACTCACATGAACTCCTTTCTTCTGTGAACACAAAACACATTTACTATGAATGGAGAACTTCAAAAGGACACAAAACACCATAAATTGTCATAAAAATAGTCATGCACTGTATTTCATGTCTTCATGATCCATACAATAGCTATGTAACAGGAACAGACTGAAATTTAAGTCATTATTCACTGAAAACGTTGACAGCTGCCCTAACTCTCCATGGCTTGTTGATAAGAGAAGTATTTATATCTGATTGTTTTAAACTATTTAATAATTCAAAATAATTAAATTTAAATCAGATCATGATTGATTCATCAATTAGATTGATCCAGTTTTCTGATACAACAGCTTTCTCTTACAACATTATCAGTAACTTTTCTGACAAATTTCAGTCTGTTTCTTATATACAGCTATATTGTATCGTATGACTTCAGAGGACTAGTTTTATGTACCACTTTCATGATTTTGACTTTTTTTGAAAAACATGAAAGCCACTCTAAGAAAGACACATCCACGCTTGATGTGTTGCACATGGGCTAGACATATTGAGACGTGGGCTGATTCATTGCTCTCTATTTACATTGTATCTGTGTGTGTCTACAGGGTCCTGTATGGAAATAAAATCGCAGAGATCCCAAAGGGACTGTTTGATGGCCTGGTCTCCCTGCAGCTGCTGTGAGTGCTGCATTTATGACTCAATAACCTTCAATGTCAAGAAGATAATGACTTCTGTGTATGTGAATGTACAGTGGGGTCCAGGTTTCACTACAAGCGATTTTTCTTTTTACACTACCACTAAACAAATGAATTTATTCAGCAAGGATGCAATAAATTGATCAAAAGTGACAGTAAAGACATTTAAAAGGCATTTAAAATGTATTTGAAAAAAAAATTATTTCAAATAAATGCTGTTTGGAATACTGGAAAATGTATCATGATTTCCACAAAAATATTAAGCAGCAAAAAATTTTTCAAAATTGATAATAATAAGAAATGTTTCTTGAGCAAATCCGCATATTAGAATGATTTCTGAAGGAGCATGTGACACTGAAATTGCATTAATTTATATTAAAATAGAAAACTTGTTAACTGAAATTGTAATAATATTTCAAAACATTACTGTTTTTATTGTTAAGATTAAGATAATTTTTTTTTAAATATTATAATACATTTAAGATTTTTTTTATAATATCTTATCATAGTTTCATAACAATTTTACTGAGAATTTTTTTTTCTGAATTTCTGTATTTGATATTTTTTGTATTTGCTTGAATATCAGTAGCACTTGATCTCTACAAATTTGTGCAAAGCCTGATTGTGCATGTCATCTAGCGTGATTTGAGAATATCTGATTAGTTACCTAAATATTATTATTATTATTATTATGTTTTTAAATTATTTTTGTTTTAGGACCCCATTGTATATACTGTATGTATGTATATGCTTCACAATGAGAACAAATGTGTTTAGTGAAAAAAATGGACTTGTTTGATTAGAGGAGGTAAAACATTTCTGCCTTTTCCCTCATGAAAGGAAGAAAAGCACTAAAAGAAGTGAAGAGAGCATGTAGTGTTTTGGCTGAAAGGAGCATCAAGTTTTATTCTCGTTTCCTCTCGGCGAACACTCTCGACATCATTAGCATGTAAATTGGTCTTGATTGCTAAACATGTCCCTCACACCTACTTATATTTGTGTAGACATGGAAACATTGCTCAGACATAATTTCTGCATTTAATGGTCCAAATTGAGGTGAATCTGTCGGCTCTAATGGGCCTGTTTCAGCTTATTCTAATGTTTTGGGGAAATTCTGATGGCTTCCGCTTTTCTTAATGTACACACTGCTGCCGCGGGCACAAAAATAAGCTCACATCACCTTTTATTATGCTTCTAAAACGCCATAGATTTACTGGAGCGGCCCGGCTCATGTTTTCACTGTCAACTGCCATAATGACACAAATTATCTGTGTTTTCAGCAATTAGAGTTCTTCATCCTTAATGGATTTTCTTAATAAGACCCTTTCAAAGGTACACCTCAGGGTATTCCAGCAATTTCGCAGATCTATTTTGGTGTTTCTGTGTTTCTTTCTGTTGTTTATGGTTTTATTCACTCTTGTTTCTTTTGTTTTTATTCTTTTTTCCTTCTTTTTTGAGATACTCAAACCTAATTAGTTCACCCTGTGAGTAGACTAACGATGCATGTGTTTGCTCCAAGACAAAACCTCATTACAATGGCTTTCAGTAATTAAGCACATGACTGCTTTAGTCAATTGTCAGGCGGCCTGAACGGGAGAGAAGTGCGAGACGTGACAGGAGTGATGGGTGCAACTCAGCAGCTGAATACTCCAGCAGTTCATCGACAACACATTCACTCCGGTTTTGTTCAAATTAGTGATCTGTGAACCAAGTAAATTACATCTATAGATCTGAATATGTTTCTGATGCTTACATCAAGTCACACAGCTTTGAGCACTTTGTGGATCCCACACTGTGAATTTTATCTCCGGTGACATCTACACACTGCTCGTGTTTACTGATACAGCGCAGATTACTGAATTTACTGCAACCATCACACTCTCCACTAGAGGCTTTAAAGCAAAACATAAAATCATTCAGAGAGAGCAGCACTTTCCGCTCAGTCAAGCAAATTTAAAATAAAAAGTCCTTATTGTCTCTTAAGTCTTTCGCAAAGTATACCCGTAGGAAACAAGCGCTTGAAACCGTTGCAGCGACTCAGGGACTGCACTGAAAGAGGCTTCTATATGGTGACTGATGCCATGTGTGCTCAACAGCGCACACTAATAAGAGCATACAGACTTCTGTAATGCAATAAATAATCATTATTCATCAAGAACAGCATAAATGACACAATGACACATTTACAGCAATAACGGTATTTACATTGTATTGTTTTGCTTTGTTTTTGTTTTGTTTGCTTTGCTTTACTTTGCTTGTTTTTGTTTTGTTTTGTATTTTGTTTTGGCTCGCTTTGCTTTGCTTGTTTTGTTTTGTATTTTGTTTTGGCTCGCTTTGCTTTGCTTGTTTTGTTTTGGTTGACTTTGCTTTGGTTTGCTTGTTTTGTGTTGCTTTACTTGTTTTTGTTTTGTTTTGTTTGCTTTGCTTTGCTTGCGTTTTGTTTAGCTTTTTGTTTTGTTTTGTTTTGTCTTTGCTTTGCCTTTTTAGCTTTTTGTTCATTTTTTTATTTATTTTAGGAATAAATCATTATGACATTGTCAGTATTCATTTTAACAGTACTTTGGGGGGGGGTTCCACTTTGGCGTTATGTGCTCTGTGCCATAATTCAAATGGTTAGAAAGTGTCTATTACACGTGTAAATTAAACATAAATATGAAAAGCTTAAAGCAGATTTTAGTTTTTTGTTTGTTTGTTATCGTGTGTTTATACTGATGAGAAAAAAAAGTCTAATGAAACTTCTGTTTACTCTTCCAGACTGCTGAATGCCAACAAGATCAACTGTCTTCGAGTGAACACTTTCAAAGACCTGCAGAACCTCAACCTGCTGTCCCTCTACGACAACAAGCTTCAGACCATCAGCAAAGGCCTGTTCACCCCTCTGCGCTCCATCAAAACACTGTAAGTTACACACACACATAATCACTCCATCCTTCACACCCACACTCAGTCCAGGAGACTCCAGTCTCTAAGCAACTGTTGAGCAGGACTGCCTTCACCCCGCAATTAATTAGTTGCAAGTAGACGGCAAAACAACAACATTAACAGCAGTGAGATAAATGTGAACTTACAGTACACTGAAACAAAATAGTTCATGTTTATGAATCGTATTGTTATCACAGGATATTACTGTTCAATTATACAAACTCCCTTGACTCTAATTAAGCGTTTTGATTTATCATTATGTCCGCCCTCCACAGACATCTCGCTCAGAATCCCTTCATGTGTGACTGTCATCTGAAGTGGCTGGCCGACTACCTGTTTGACAATCCAATTGAGACCAGCGGAGCTCGATGCAGCCACCCGCGCCGCCTCGCCAACAAACGCATCAGCCAGGTTAAGGGCAAGAAGTTTCGCTGCACAGGTAGAGCTACACACATGCACACTGTTTAAAGAGGAATTTTATGCCTTGTTGAGTTAATTTGAGTTGTATTTTGAGTTAATTGGAACAATATACTACAGTAGACATACTTTAACATTCACAAGGCTTCTTCATCAATCCACCCAGAATATGTATTCACATTAAGATGCAGAAACGGGTCCTTTAGAAATCAAAATGTTATGACGTTGTAACATGATTGCCCACTTTACAGTTAGTATTCAGCAGCTTGGTAGCTGCCTGCTCATTTCAAATGCGAAAACATTGTCAAAATACACTACCGTTCAAAAGTTTGTATATATATATACATATATATAAGTAGTATATATAAGTAGTATAGGTTTTTAAACGGGTTACATTTTATTTTGATAGTCCACTTTAAACATTCTACTAAATTTAAGTAACTTTGTAGCTACATACATGTCAACTAACTCTCATTAATTTGCATCTACGCATCAACCAACACTCATTAAATATTAGTAGACTGTTAGGTTAGGGTTAGTAGTATAAGTTGACATGCGCTTGCAAAGTTACTTATAGTTAGTAGAATGCCTGTTGATGGACCATGAAAATGAAGTGTTAGCAGAAATTAAAGCAGTCCACTAATGAATGTTAGTTGGCATGTAGTTACAAAGTTACTTATAGTTATTAGAATTGTTAACATTGACAAAATCTTATGATCTTATGACCATCGAGGCTGCATTCATTTGATCAAAAATACATTAAAAACAGTAATATTGTAAAATATTATAACAAATTAAAATAAGTTTTCTATTTTATGAATTTTCAGCATCGTTACTCCAGTCTTCAATGTCAGATGATCCTTCAGAAATCATTCTAATATGTTTATTTGCAGCTCAAGAAATATTTCTTATTATTATCAGTGTTGAAAACAGTTGTGCTGCTTAATATTTTTGTGAAAACTATGTTGTTGTTTTTTGGGATTCTTTGAAGAGTCGAAAGCTCTACAGAACAACATTTATTTGAAACTGTTTTTTTTGTAACAATGTGAAGGCTTTTACTGTCACTTTTGATCAATTTAATGCATCCTTGCTGAATACAAATAGTATAATAAGCAAAACCAGTAGTACAACTGTTTAAATTCAATGAGTAGGTGGAAAATGGTGGTGTACATTATGGTTGGTTTTTGGTCCAAGATAACATTATAAAGAGACTTACACCTTATGAAAGACAGTCAATCAAGTGAATGAATCCGAACACAGCTCCTGCCATACAGTCAATCCACTAGGTTGTGCGTGACCTGTTGATGGCTCGGAGTTCTGGCCCACCAATTGCTTCTCACATTCTTCTTTACACTGAGACTCCTCACATTCAGTGACGTCCCTTTCCTTTTCCTATGTGTGAGTTTGTGTGTGGCATACTCTGGCCTGGAGCAGTTCTTCTCACACACTGCCAGGTTTCAGAGTGCTAATAGGACAATGCTGGCTGTTCTGAAGCTGAATGAAGATGCCTTGTTAGATGTTTTTTCGAGTCGGAACCGGCCCCCACACGCAGCCAAAAGCACGGGCCCCTGAGGGAACTGATTTGGTGGGAGAAGTGCAGCCGCTGTTTGCTTTGATATTAAGCCACAGGTTTTTCTCATTAAACTTCTGTCAGTGTATCAGCACAATAACAAGTGCAACGCCAGAGCACACAAACCCGCTACTGGCCCCTAGTGTGTGTTTGCACATGAAAATCTTTGTTTTGTGTGTGTGTGTGTGTGTGTGTGTGTGTGTGTGTGTGTGTGTGTGTGTGTGTGTGTGTGTGTGTGTGTGTGTGTGTGTGTGTGTGTGTGTGTGTGTGTGTGTGTGTGTGTGTGTGTGTGTGTGTGTGTATGCAGGCCCATAGCCAGCTGTAAGATTACCGAGGTCCAGACCTCAGTAAATTGTGAATGTTCAAAAATACAATTTGTTCTCTGAATTACTAATTTGTTGTTTAAAACTCCTCATATGAATGTCTGCATGTATAATTCAGCTTAGACAGTTTGCAAGAATGTTTAGCATCCATGGTATGAAAAAAAAAAAAAAAATCG